TCAGGACATTTTTTATTCGGATTTGTGCACTGAGCGGGGATTGGATCATGTGTCCTGAAGGGCCTCTTTTGATTCCAGGCTTGGTTAACTTCTTCTGGCCGAGATATGATATATGCAGTTGTGTAAGATTAATTCTATTTTAAGACTATCACCACAAAACATGCTCACTTTTCTCCCCCCCCCCTTTTTTTTTTTAAAGTCTGCAGGCAAAGCTTTGATGAGGGAATACCTTTCAAGAGCAGGTGGCAAAGTTGATTAAGCTTCAGATTAAATTTTCATTATTAGGGAGAGAAATTGGAATGAAGTAGAACTCTATTTAAGCAATCAAGCTGAGGTCCCACTCTCCTTAGGTGCAGCTCAGAGTCACTTTTCTAAAATAGCTCAGTTTTTAATGCAAAGAAGGATATGATTTCTGGTTAATCATCCCAGCAGTCCTCTTTCTTCAAATTATTTCCAGGACCTTTGACTTGAAATAAAGGGAAAGAGAAAGAAGTAGAAAAAAAGAGGGCAGGGATGTCAGCCTATAATGATATTCTTAGAGAATATCTGCTTTCCAAAATTGTCCTTGTAGGAGAACAGTTTCCATTTTAATTACAGCAAAATCTGGCTGTAGTACGGACAGTAACTTTCAGAGCAGTTTAAACAGGGAATGGAGATTGTTAGAATATCAGTTATGGATTGATAGATGCAAAAGGATAGATGCTCAAACAGGAATCCAGCTTAAGGCATCTTTTGACAGTCCTCCATGCTTCAGCACCTTGGAGAGTTCCATCAGCCAGCACTTGATCTTTGATCCAAGACAAATAGCAGAATTACAGAGTTGAAAAGGGACCTTGGAGGTCTTCTAGTCCAGCCCCCTGCTTGAGCATAAGACCCTATACCACTTCAGACAAGTGGCTGTCCAGTCTCTTTTTAAAAACCTCCAATGATGGAGCACCTACAACTTCTGGAAGCAAGCGGTTCCACTGGTCAATTGTTCTCACCTCTAGGAAATTTCTCCTTAGTTCTAGGTTTCTTCTCACCTTGATTAGTTTCCATCCTTTGCTTTTTGTCTTCTGATACTTTCGAAAATAGGTTGACCCCCTCTTCTTAATCAACTTTGCCACAAAATGGTGAGCTTCGCCTTTTCTGTGTGTTCCACTAAGTTTACAATCCAATCTTCTGTGGGTTATTATTTAAATAGCACTTAGGTGTGCAATATAGGAAATATTTGTAAAGCAATAAGATGTAAAGAGGAAAGAGTGCAGACAAGCAACAAATAATGATTAGGGGCCTTGTGGCTGAAACATATGAAGAACGGTTGCAGGAATTGGGTATGTCTAGTTTAATGAAAAGAAGGACTAGGGGAGACATGATAGCAGTGTTCCAATGTTTGAGGAGCTGCCACAAAGGAAGAGGGGCTCAACCTATTTTCCAAAGCACCAGAAGGCAGGACTAGAAACAAAGGATGGAAATGAATCAAGGAGAGAAGCAGAGAGAACAGTCAATCAGAGGTTTTGCCTCCAAATGTTTTGAGTGCTCCATCACTGGAGGCTCTTAAGAAGAGACGGGGCAACCATTTGTCCGAAATGGTATAGGTCTCCTGCTTGAGCAGGGAGCTGGATTAGAAGACCTCAAAGGTCTCTTTCTAACTCTGTTATTCTGTATGGACAACTGGACTGGGCTGCACTTCGAGTATTAAGTACATCTTGTCTTCCTTTGGTCTCCATTTCCATAAATTCAGTATATACAGACAGCAAATGCTCACCTTCTCTTTTCAGTCTGATAACCACCAAAAATAATTCTTTGTATTCATAGATTAGTCTTCTCCAGCCTGGGGCCCTCTGGGTCAGTGTTTTGTAAGCATGGCAACTTTACGATGGGTGGACTTCAACTCCCATGATTCTGACCGGCTGGGGAATCCTGGGAGTTGAAGTCAAGCCAACTTTTTAAATATATATATTTTTTTTTAAATTTAAGAAATGTTTAGCAAAGTAGTCCAAATATTACCCCCCCCCCAAATAAATTGAAAAGAAAGCAGGGTGAATATGTAAGAGAAAATAGAAAGAAGAAAGGAGAGAACAGAAAGAAAAGGTTATAAAGAAGTCGCTTCCTTTCTTTCTGACAGAAAGAATATTTTATATTTTACCTTCTTGAAGCCCACACAACTTAAAGTTGCTGGGTTTGAAAAACACTGCTCTGGAGACAGACAGGTCATTAGGTACAATTCCTGCCCCATTTGACTTCTCCCCAAGTTCTTTGACTCACTTCCCATTTGTTTCCCAGAGGTGAGGAACTAGTAGATCTCACCTGAAGCTCCACCATACATGGTCAAGAGTGACGGATGTTAGAAATGTCTTTTCAGCAACAGCAGGAGGTCTGGAAGCTCCCCACCCTGGTCCTTTGGTCTCCCCTACCGTGGCATTAAATACTCCACAGAATCTTGCTTCCGTTCATGTTCTCCTTGCTTTGATCATAAAGCTAACACTCACCCACTCACTTTCTCTTCTTCTCCTCCTCCTCCATCCCTTCCTTCCTTCCTTCCTTCCTTCCTTCCTTCCTTCCTTCCTTCCTTCCTTCCTTCCTTCCTTCCTTCCTTCCTTCCTTCCTTCCTTCCTTCCTCATTCTGCTCCTCCTGCTTCTTTTTCTTCTTCTCTCTCCTTCTCCTTTGCTCTCCTGACTCATCCCTTAAAGCAGTGGTTCTCAACCTTTTTAATGCCACGACCCCCAACAGGTCGTAAGTTGAGGACTACTCAACCGGTCCTAAGTCGAGGACTACTCAACTGGTGCAGCCCCGTTTGCAGAATGGGACTTTTGGTGGGCTCAGCAGGGCAGAGACAGCCTGGATAATTCCTATTGGCTTTTGAAAGCCAACAGAATTAGACTCTATTCAAGAGAGTCTATTCGATTGGCTTTCAAAAGCCAATAGAATAAAAGGGAGTAGCACAGCTAAGGAAAAGGGGGGAAAAATGGCGGACTGCGTTGTTTGGCGACCCCCGTGAAATGGTCATTCGACCCCAAATGGGGTCCCGACCCACAGGTTGAGAACCACTGCCTTAAAGACATGATTAAGTCAGTTGCCTACATGTTCAGCCACTTGGGACTCACCTAGATCAGAGGACCATCTGCTGTACCCCTATGTCAGCTGCTCAAATAACTTTTACCATTTAAAATTCTTTTTAAAAATAGACCTGGCACCAGCTGTTCCAAATGAGCCTCTCTGTTTAAGTAAACTTACACAAAATTAGCCTGGGCTGAAGCCCCTGCTATGCAAATGGATATTAAATTGTGGTGATGTTTGCTCTGTTTTTATTTCTAATTTCTACTGCAAACATTTCATACTTCAATCTGACACTTCTCTTAACAGTGTCCTTTTTCCCCCCCAAACATGACCCCCCCCCCAAAAAATGACCAGAAACTTCATCTCCATCCTGCATGAGGAATTCTGAGTTTGGCACCAGGAAGCTAAAGATTTATTTATGACTTTATGACTTCTTTTGTAAAACTCTGCTTTGGGTCACTTCTCATTAAATTGGCTGTTTAAATTTCAAAGGGCAATGGTGTGCTCCTTCCAATGGAGTTGGTCTTTTATAATATCAGGGTTTATACTACTGGCGAGTGTCATCTGGGCCACGTGCCTGATTTATACCAGGCAACCTTTTTGTTGTGTCACTGAAGCTATTCGGAAACTAGTTTGTCAGGAATCGTGAAAGTTTCTTACTGTTTGTAAGATAAAGTTAAAACTTTGGACCCTTCTTGTTCTTGGGTAGACTGTTTTTAAAATACTTACATTTTACTCTTTCGTAGGAACATTCCTAATGTTTGCAGAGTTCCATATTTGTCCAGCTGGAATGAAGAGCTAGCGAAGTTGATGACTTAGGCGTGGTGCAATTTTGTGCTAGGCTGATCTAGCTGCCCTTAAACAAAATATATGTATTTTAAAATAGTGGCCCAGCTTACTCCACATGGCACTTTGAAGATTTCCAAAATATTTCCGTAAAAAAGATAAAGGAGTCCCTGTGGATTTTACTCAAAATTTGTGATTGTTAGTTGCGAAGTCGTGTCCAACCCATCGCAACCCCATGGACAATGTTCCTCTAGGCCTTCCTGTCCTATACCATCTTCTGAAGTCCTTTTAAGCTCACACCTACTGCTTCAGTGACTCCATGCAGCCACCTCATTCTTTGTCATCCCGTTCTTCTCTTGCCCTCCATCTTTCCCAGCATTAGGCTCTTCTCCAGTGAGTCCTTCCTTCTCGTTAGGTGGCCAAAATACTTGAGTTTCAGTTTCAGGATCTGGCCTTCTAAAGAGCAGTCAAGGTTGATCTCCTCCAGGACTGACCAGTTTGATCGCCTTGCAGTCCAAGGGACTCGCAGGAGTCTTCTCCAGCACCATAGTTCAAAGGCCTCAATTCTTTTGCGCTCAGCCTTTCTTATGGTCCAACTTTCACAGCCATACATTGCAACTGGGAGAACCATGGCCTTGACTATACGTACTTTTGTTGGCAGGGTGATGTCTCAAAATTTTCTCATTCTCAAGAGATGTTTGGAATGTTTTGTCATTGTTAGTGTGCTAAGATGAAATACATTTTCAAAAACCTTGAGGAGCTTGTCCTCTCTATATCAGGTCTCCTTGTTCGGAAATGAGACAACTTGGCATGGCCAACTTGTGTAGTACTGATCGGGACACAAAGGACAGGTGTACATGTGAGTTGTTGTCTGCATGTCACCACAATCACAAAGAGCAGAAGCCACCGGATAGCCCCATTTACTCAGAGTGTCCTTAGATCTTATTGTACCTGTGCCCAATCTATTCAACACTTTCAATACTTCCCAGCTTTTGTCTAAATGAGGTGCCAGCTCCTCCGTTGGTTCCATCCAAGGTTGGTTCTTTGTAGCCATCTGAATGAATCGCTTCGCCATTCCAGTGATTGTGTTCAGTTCTCCTGAGGAGATAAAATCAGAGTTTTAAACATGACACAGTTTTGAACAGCTGTCCCGGTAATGCTTGTTCTCCTGCAGGATCTGATAAGAAGAGACATCTTGTACTACAAAGGACGGATTGACATGGACCGCTATGAGGTTTTGGATATCGAAGATGGACGGGATGACGACTTCAACGTGAGCATGAAGAATGCTTTCAAGCTACATAACAAGGAGACGGAGGAAATGCACTTGTTTTTTGCCAAGAAGCTGGAAGAGAAACTGAGGTGGCTCAGAGCTTTCCGCGAGGAGAGAAAGATGGTGCAAGAAGATGAGAAGATAGGTAAGCCACAAGGTCTAAGCAGGTACTCAGAGGTGAGGAATAGGATTTGCACTTCACACGGCATCTCCTGAGACTCTCTGTATAAATGGGCCATAGCATCCTTCCCTTGGTGTGACTGCGGGGTCCCACGTCACACTGTAGATCATATTGTGACCAGCTGTAAGCTGAGGACATATACTGGCCCAGTATCGGATTTTTTTTTAATATAAATGATGCTGTGTTTCAATGGTTAGATGGCCTAGACATTGGTATTTGAACATATGTTCAAATACATATGATCTGTATGCATATGGATCAGTATACAGGGGAAGAGTACATACAAAACTATGTGTGTACAAAATGCATTGGGGAAAAAACTAGCATGAGGAATGAAAAGGGAGCGAAAGAGTGAGGGTAGGGGAGAGAAGGAGGGAGGGAAGGGAAAAGGGAGGGAGGATGGGGAGGGAGAAAAGGAGGGAAGGAGAAAAGGGAGGGAGAGAAAGGGAGGGAGGGAAGGAAGGAAGGAAGAGGGAGGGAGGAAGAAAGGGGAAGGAGAGAGGAAAGGAAGAAAAGAGAAAATGGAGGGAGAGAAGGAGAAAGAAACGGAAGGAAGGAAGGGAGGAAGGAAGGAAGGAAGGAAGGAAGGAAGGAAGGAAGGAAGGAAGGAAGGAAGGAAGGAAGGAAGGAAGGAAGGAGAAGAAGCAAAAAAATGAGGGCATAATTTTACTAATCTAGATGAAATATTAATAAGTATTGCTAGTCCGTGCATGATATGCCATACGCTAAATAAATAAATAGAGATCAGGAACCCTTCTTCCCGCCTGGCCAGATGTTAAATGTTGGCCTCCTGCTGTGTCATTTGTCCACTGGCTTCCAAACCCATCTGGAATCTTCTGAAAGAGGAACCAACAGGTTGCACTATCCCTTCCTTATTATCCATTCTTGCAATGGGGAACTGCAACCATGTGTTTCTCCTTGCATGATAGCAATAGCAACAGCACTTAGATTATATATCACCCCATAGTGGTTTGCAGTGTCAGCGTATGGCCCCCAACAATCCGGGTCCTCATTTTACTGACCTCGGAAGGATGGAAGGCTGAGTCAACCTTCAGCCTGCCAGGATCGAACTGCTGGCAGTGGGCAGAGTTAGCCTGCAATACCGCATTCTAACCACTGCACCGCCAGGTCTCCTCATATAGAAAAGTCTACTTTTGTTCCCGAATCTGTCTCTCATGACGTAGAAAACCATGGGCTCCGGTTGAAGGAAATGCTTGTGCTGCCTTCAAGGGAGAACATGCATATAAGGCAGAGTGGAGCAAAGAGACCTTGAAGAAAGTACAGTATCAAGCTTTTGCTTGATGCACTTCAATGGACAGGAAGGTATTGTCTCTTTCTCAATGCAAAATCTTTAAGGTATGACAGGGCTCCCCATATTCCCAGCCATCCTGCCATACTGATGGGAAATCTTAAGAGTTTAGCCCCAACCTGTCTAGAGCAGAGGTCACCAACCTTTTCATCCTGGCAGCCTGGAGGGAAAAGGAACAGCTGGGAAATTTGCGTGCACACGCACGTGAATGGGGCCTTGTGCATCCACACAGCACTAGGGGCTCTGTGCATGCACGCAGGCACTAGCCACTGCTGCTGCTAGCCCCGTGCACATGCACAAACGGGATGCATAACCTGCAGGGTGCTAGCGGCCGTCTTTGCATATGCATGCAGGCGCTAGCCACCGCTGCTGCTAGCCCCGCGCACATGCACAAACAGATCTGCGGGTGCTAGCGCAAGTGGGGGTGAGTGTGCGCACAAACATGCATGTACTGGCCAGCCTGTCCCACGGCCCAGTGACCAATAGGCCACAGTCCAGCAGTGAACCGCAGATGATAGTTTGGGGACCCCTGGTCTAAAGGAGCCAGTGATTGGAAGCAGCAGTCCTGTGACTGGCAAGCACTTCAGAAAATGGAGCTGGTTGTCTATTCAAGGGGTGCATGCACATTGAACTGACTGGTTTGGAAGGATGGGAGAAAAATTCCATTGGTTTGCATTTTCATGGAAATGTATATCCACGTTGCAATTTCCAAACCAGTACATGAACTGGAGTGCAGCACTGTGGGATATCTCGTCTCATTGGATGAAGGGGAATGTGCTCCATAAATTATGGAGCAGAGTGAATTGGTGAAATGACTCTAAGAGCAGAGGCTGGTGCTGTTGCACTAATGGCAAAATTCAATTATGCACGACAGCACACAAATCAAAAGCACGCCTAGGACTGTAGATATTAAAAAGCAGTGCACCAGAAGGGGGAAAAAAACCCACACCAAAACTGTGGAACAACAAGTTTCACATCAGAAAGGTCTTGCAAACAGTGTGACTATCTGCAAAATGTATATGGATCAGGGGAAGAGTGCATGCAAAACCTATGTGTGTACATAATGTATTGAGGAAAAAAACTAGCATGAGGAATAAAATGGGAGGGGGGAGAAAGGAAGGAAGGGAGGGAAGGAGAGAAAAAAGGAAGGGAGAGAGGAAGGAGAGGGAGAAAGGAAGAGAGGGAAGGAAAAAATGGAGGGAGAGAAAGAGAAAGAGGGAAGGAAGGAAAAGGAAGAAAGAAGGGGAAGGAGGGAGGGAAAAAGAAAGGGGAGGGAGGGAGGGAAGGAGAAAATGGAGGGAGAGAAAGAGAAAAAGGAAGGAAGGAAAGAAGGGAAGGAGGGAGGGAGGGAGGGGAAAAGAAAGGGGAGGGAGGGAAGGAAGGAGAAAATGGAGGGAGAGAAAGAGAAAGGAAAGAAGGGAAGGAGGGAGGGGAAAAGAAAGCGGAGGGAGGGAGGGAAGGAGAAAGAAAGGGAAGGAGAAGAAGCAAAAAAAAAAAAAAATGAAGGCATAATCAGGCCTGTTGGATTAATCCATGTCTTCAAGCCTTCAGGAAATCTACTTGGAGAAGAGGGGATACGTTTCTGCAGAGCGTTCATTCTCCCCCCCCCCCCTTCTCTCTCCAGGCTTTGAAATTTCTGAGAACCAGAAACGACAAGCAGCCATGACCGTAAGAAAAGTCAGTAAGCAGAAAGGTAAGTCCCTCCCTGTGTTGTGGGCAGTGAGTGGAAAGCAGCCAGCCCAGAGTCCCATTTTTGCCCTACTGTCCCCCCCCCTCAGTGTCCTTTCATCTGCGCACCTTGTAGTGTCTACGGCTAGTCCTCGGGCTGTGATGGCAGTTGGGCCCAGAGCTTCCATCACTAAGCAACGCGGTGGCCAAGCACGATGGCAGGTGACCCCATTGCTTAGTGATGGCGGTCCCGGTTACTGTTGTAACCCAGAGGCCATGTGGGGCATGAAGAGAGGACCTCATGTGATCAAAGTCCCAGAGAAGCAGGCCAGTGGGGTAGAACAGTGGGTAGGTGTGGGTGGGTGGATGGGCCAGTGGAGGCTGAGGGTGTTCCTGAGTCATGGCTAGGGCAGGGGTAGGCAACCTTGGCTCTTTTATAACTCTTTTATAACATGGCTGGCTCAGGAATTCTGGGAGTTGAAGTCCACAAATCATAAAAGAGCCAAGGTTGCCTACCCCTGGCTTAACCCAATATGTAATTGAGACTTCAGTTCCCGAGCGGTTGGGCGGAGATCCTAGGAGTTGTAGAACTGCTGCATCTGGAGAAGAAGGTCAGGTTGGAGAAGGCTTGTTACAGTGTGCATAAATGCAAAGGAAAGCCAATAAAGGAGAATATTCGTAGCTCAGGGTTGAAATGAGGGGTCCTTGGTGCTCTCTGAGCTGGGTGGTTTTCTTGCAGACCTTTCATTGCCCAAACTAGGTAACATCATTAGCATTAGTCAGTCAAGCCTAGCACTGATGACGGTGCCTAGTTTAGAGAATGAAATGTCTGCCAGAAGACAACCAAGCACCAGAGAGACCTGCGTAGGAAGCTACATATCCTCAATGATATTGTCTGAAGATGTTGGACTAGGAGTGAGGAGACCCAGGCTCTTCTAGTCCCCACGCCAGGCAAACTTCCTGAGTGACTTTGGGCCAGTTCCCCTCCCTCAACGCAAGAGCCAGCATAGTGTTGTGCTGAAAAAGTTGGTCTAAGAGAGGGACCATCTAAGCTTCTAATCTCCCCTCAGCCATGGAAACCCTCCCTCAGCCCAGCCCAGTTCCTAGACCCGATATTGTGGGGGGAAATGGGATGAAGGTACCCTGTACCCATCTTCCTGTACCAAAGGCAGGATATAAATCCAGAAGTAAACAAATAGACTGAATTGTCCAATCCTTGAGATGATTATCTCCTGAGAAAGACAGGGTTGCTCCTTCAGCTCCTGTAGGGCAAGTGAAGCCATCAGAAGGTGCCTTACAGCAAAGCAGATGGTGGGACAGCCAAGGTCAGCATTTGTGAGAATTGGACAATAATTTGGTCTCCCCCAAGCTCCCAGCAAGAAGATCAGGCAGCCACTTGATCCATTTTAATGGAAGAATCTACAGTCTTTGACAAGGCAAATAAAGCTGCCTCCACTAAATTAACCTTGCAGTTTTAAGGTCTGGCAAGGTTTCCATCAGCCACACACCCTCTATTGTCTTTCTGTCTTTGTCTGTCTAGGTCAGGGGTAGGCAACCTTGGCTCTTTTATGACTGGTGGACTTCAACTCCCAGAATTCCTGAGCCAGCTATGCTGAGGGGAAAGGGAGAGGTTTCCAAGCTGAGCCATGCTGGCTCAGCAATTCTGGGAGTTGAAGTCCATGAGTCATAAAAGAGCCAAGGTTGACTATCCCTGGTCGAGGTAGTTGGGCCAGGAAATTGGGGACTGAATTTTTTCTGGCCTGGCGAACAGACAGTGGATCAAATAGTGCCATGGCTTGGCTTGGCTTGGCTTGGCTTAGTTACTCTTACTTGTGATGTGGCTAGGATGTGGTTTCCTGCTGCTTTGAAACAGCTGGAGCTCTGGAGAAAGGGTGGATAAATGGATCGGGCCAAATGGCACCACCGTGTTAAGCTTTTTTAAAATTATTATTTAGGGAGTGGAGGTTGAAGGGCAATACGTATATCTTAAGGTCTCCAGGTGTTCCTTTTACCCCTTAAACCACCTGAAACTTTCCAGTTTTGGAGTGCAGGCATCAACCCACCACAGAAACCTGGCATGGCCCTCAAGTGAACACATTCCTGCAGTGGCGTAAGATTTTAAAAAAAAATGGAGTAAGAAGGCACAAAAGAATCTCGTATATGAGAAGACGGTTCACGTTCAAAAAAAGCTTCAGATTTTGCCTAATGTAATTTAAATGGCCGAACACAATTCAGTTGACTTCAGACCAGTTTCCTACAATATACTGCTTTCCAGATATAATGGACAACAATCCTCCTGATCTTTGTAAATCTTGCAAATGATAGGCTAGCTGCGATTGGTGGGAGGTACGTTCCTGTCTTCTTGAGGGCATCAGATAAGTAAGGCTGTTTTACACCTTCATCCAGAGAAATACTGAGTACTTAATTGCATTTATCTGCTTAACTTAGCAATCGCTCTCTGATTATCCCAATTTCTCTGTGGACCGCTTGGAAAACGGTGGCATCTTATTGAACTAAGCTTCTTTGAATATAAATTAATTGATTTCTATCACCACCAGCTTCCCATCCCTTCCTTAGGCAGCCTTGGCTGTTTTTGTAGAATTGGGAATTGCCTTTCAGAAAAGCCATTCTTGTCTTTTCAACTTCGATGAATTCAATGGCGTGAAGTCAAGTGGCACTTTTTTTCAGTTGAAGGCATGAATATGGAAATGGTTCAAGACGAATCAAATATATGATGATGAGCAAAGATCAGCATCTCAAAGAAAATAAAGCGAGAAAGAAAAACAATAGCAATAAATTAACCATATTAGTCCAGACTGGCCAATTAATCATGTCTGCACTAACTGTTGATGTATTTTAATTGTAGCCCCCAAGATTTAGTAACTGTATGCTTCAGGTTGTCTATATCAGGGCTTTTCAACCTTTTCACCCATTGCACCACTTTTAGGATATGGCAATATCCGAGTACCCCCAGTCGCCTAGCAAGGTGTCAAAAACTTGATGACCAAAAAACCAAACAAAACCAAAGTTAAAAAGTGATAAAATACAGATAGTCCCCGACTTACACCAGTTCGCTTAGTGACTGTTCGAAGTTACAATGGCACTGAAAAAGTGCCCCCCAAGCCACAGCCGAGCAAGACACCTGCCTGTCCACCGGCGGTGCTCTTCCTCCTGTCCGAGGATTGGCAGAGGGGGTGGGGGGGTGTTTGGTTTTTATTTCCCCCGCTTGCTGGGTGGTTGCAGCAGGTTTTGGTCACTTCATATGACCCTGTGACCATCATAAATATGCATCAGTTGCCAAGCATCTGAATGTAAATCATAAGACCCCGGAGAGGCTGCAACATTCCAGCTGATTGGCGCTTCTTCTGGGCTCAGCAGAAGCACCAGGCTCAGTGCTGCTTTCCAGCTGATTGGTGCTTCAGGGCTCAGCAGAAGCACCAGGATCAGCGCCGAGCTCCAACTGGAGCCTAGTGCTGATCCTGGAGTTCCACTGAGCCCTGACAGCCCCGAAGAAGCGCCAATCAGCTGGAGCCTGGCACTGATCCTGGCGCTTCCACTGAGCCCTGACAGCCCTGCAGCTCCAGCCGTCTCTCGCTCAGGCTTGTGCAGTGCTGCCACCAGTTCAGCTCATTCCCCTCCCCCACTACCACTTTTCTAGGATGGTCACATACCACCTGCCAGGTGCCAATGTACCACAGGTGGTACCCGTACCACTGGTTGAAAAGCCCTGGTCTATATACTATTCTGTCCATCTTGGGAGACTTCATAGCAGGGGTAATACAGGCGGTTCTCAACTTTCAACAGTTCATTGGGTGACTGTTCAAAGTTAGAGCAGCACTGAAAGAGTGACTTATGACCATTTTTCACACTTATGACCATTTCAGCATCTCCATGGTCACGTGATCAAAATCCAGACACTTCGGTATGCAGAAAGTCACACAGGCTGCCACAGAAAAGCCACACTTCCTAGATCCCATCAGAGGGCAATATTGAGGGGAAGGGTGCCCACCCTATCTGATCTGGTAGGATGGGTAGATTCCCTGTGATTTATTAACCAGATCAAATTCAGTGCATACATAATATACGGAATTTGCTACTACCGGATGCAGTGGCCAACATCTTGAGTGGCTTTCCTGGGAACTAGAATATTTCCAGGGAATAAGAATATTAGTGGCAACTTGTCCAACCGACTCTGTACGATCTTCATAATGGAAGCATAAAGTCCACATGAATGAATAGAATAGAGCTGGAAGGGACCTTGGAGGTCTTCTAGTCCAGCCCCTTGCTCAAGCAGGAGAAGCTATGCTGTCTATCAGTGCAGTTGCAGAGAAATGGACTGATGTTTTGTTTTCCAAATGTGTGTGGCAAACCACTCTGGGGAAAACTTGTGTGGTTTTTTTTTTTTAAGCCTGATTCATCAGGATGTTTTTAACATATTGCAAGAAGTTGGACTAGATGACCTCTGAGGTCCGTTCCAGCCCCTTGAGTCTGTGTTGTATCTATTTACACAGATGACAAAAGTCTTTAAAAAGGAAAAGAGACAACTCCAACCAAATTAAAAATATAAAGTAAAATAAAAGGAAGAAGAGGAAGGGAAATGTACCTCGTATTTTGTATTTTAACAACTGTCAATCTAATGAAAGCAGCCTAATCAAGAAACCACTAAGACCATTCCCACCAACACTGGCAGGGGAAGGCACTCATATATACACAACCCCCCTCCCTTCTACCACTGATGATGTTACCTAGTTGGGTAATGAAACGTCTCCAAGTAAAATAATCTCGAAGAGCACCAAGGACTGCACAGTTCAATCCTGAGTTAGGAATATTCTCTTCCATCAGTATTGAAAATCTGTTTACGCACATTAACGCATTTTTGCATCTGTTTATATGCATTTCATGGGAATGTAGCTCCGGTTTGGAGCTACAGCGTGAATGGTTTTATGGGGTTTATCTCTTAGCTGTACCTGCGTTTAGTGTGTCCATTTTCATAGTGGATTGACCTGGCTGCTTTCTCTCATTTCGTTCAGTCTCCTTTATTATCTTCCACGCTTTCTGGATCTTCATTTAGTCTTGGCAGGACCACAGCTCAGGGAGCACCAAGCTGACATGAAACGATGTTAGTTCAATCTCAGCTCCTCAAAAGGTTTCTACAGGCTTCCTTTAGGAAAACGCTGCTGTTGGACTAACGATCTGTTTTGCTATAAGGCAGCTAATGAAGGTTATAATTCAGCAGGAGTCTCTCATAACACTTCTGGCTTTGGCTTGCATAACGGTGCCCTGGATTTTATTTCTTGAATGTAGAAGAATGGAATAGAATAGAATAGAATAGAATAGAATTAGAATTAGAATAGAATTAGAATAGAGCAGAACGCAGAATAGAATAGAATAGAATAGAATTAGAATAGAACAGAATGCAGAATAGAATAGAATAGAACAGAACGCAGAATAGAATAGAATAGAATTAGAATAGAACAGAACGCAGAATAGAATAGAATAGAACAGAATGCAGAATAGAATAGAATAGAACAGAACGCAGAATAGAATAGAAAAGAACAGAATGCAGAATGCAGAATAGAAAAGAACAGAATGCAGAATGCAGAATAGAATAGAACAGAATGCAGAATAGAATAGAATAGAACAGAATGCAGAATAGAATAGAACAGAACGCAGAATAGAATAGAAAAGAAAAGAACAGAATGCAGAATAGAATAGAACAGAATGCAGAATAGAATAGAATAGAACAGAATGCAGAATAAAATAGAATAGAGCAGAATGCAGAATAGAATAGAATAGAATAGAACAGAATGCAGAATAGAATAGAATAGAACAGAACGCAGAATAGAATAGAATAGAACAGAATGCAGAATAGAATAGAATAGAACAGAACGCAGAATAGAATAGAAAAGAACAGAATGCAGAATAGAATAGAACAGAATGCAGAATAGAATAGAATAGAACAGAATGCAGAATAGAATAGAACAGAACGCAGAATAGAATAGAAAAGAACAGAATGCAGAATAGAATAGAACAGAATGCAGAATAGAATAGAATAGAATAGAACAGAATGCAGAATAGAATAGAATAAAATAGAACAGAACGCAGAATAGAATAGAATTGTTCCAATTGTTCCAAGCCCCCCAAAAGGGAAGTCCCATCTAAAATACACTTCTATATTTAGAATAGAACAGAACGGAACAGAACAGAATAGAATTACAGAATAGAGTAGAGTAGAGTAGGTGGGAGTGGTGAGAACCAATTGTTCCAAGCCCCCCCAAAAGAGAAGTCCCATCTAAGATACACTTATATATTTAGAATAGAAGGGAACAGAATGGAATGAAACGGAACAGAACAGAATAGAATAGAATAGAATAAAAGAGTTGGAAGGGGCCTTGGAGGTCTTCTAGTCCAACCCCCTGCTCAGGCAGGAAACCCTGTACCACTTCATTTTAATCACTGCACCACCAGGGCTCTTGAATGTGTGTTTCCATTTAACCCTTGCATTATGATGGACCTTTTTTTCTTCTCCTTCCTCCTTTCTCCTCCTCCTCCCATCCAGGCGTCAGCTACTCCCGATCCGTTCCTCCGACATACCCACCTCCCCAGGAGCCACTAAATCAGGGACAATACTTGGTCACCGATGGCATAGCCCAACCGCAGGTCTATGAGTTCACCGAACCGAAACGCAGCCAGTCACCTTTCTGGCAAAACTTCAGCAGGTTAACGCCATTCAAAAAATAATATATAGAGCGAAGGGGGAGAGTTTTAAAATAAAATTTAAAAAAAAATTAAAAAATTAATAAAAAATATATTTATAGATGGACCTTTTTTGGAGAAGCACTGTTGAAACTTAACATTATATATATATATGAATGAAATTTCATATATATATAGATAGATAGATACATAGATAGATAGATATATATGAATGAAATTTTGAAGGACCAAAAACATTTTTTGTTATACTTGTTTTAGGGGGGAAAAAACCAGTATCTGCTGCATTATTTTAGGAAGCACCAAGTATTTCGAATCATGTAACTTTCTTTCTTTTGGCATCATTGGAAATGTTGTTAAAATTTGTTCTTGAAGGGTTGTTTTTTTTTTTTTTGCTACAGAAATGGTGTTCCAGAATGATTCATATTTTGCCTTGTGCTCTGCCTATGACAGGCTCCATCCAGGACCAGGGAGGTGCATATTTGTTTTGAGATTTCATTTACAGACACTGTCTTCTAAAAGCATCTGGGTGCGGGGAGAGGTGTTTAAACCCCTTCCTCTCCTATATCCCTTTCTCTCCGAGCGCCCTGGATGGAGCCTGTCAGAGACCCAGGGAGAGAAAGATCGAATTCTCATTTGTTCCTCTGGAAAGAGCTTGGCTGGAGCAACTACCTCGCCAGCAATGAATGTCCAGGATTGGTTCAGTTTGGTTGTTGGGAATGAGCTGCACTTTGTGCCCCAAATTCTTTGGTTCTGATCCAATGCTCCTCTGTACTGTGCCACTGATCCTTGTGTTGCTTTAAATGCAGCGGTAGAGGAACGCCAGCTCTGCAGTTCTTCCGCCCTGCAAATTCTCTGGAAAAGAGGGGGTTGCAGCCCAGAAGCACACAGGCAACTGTATCCGACTGTGGGGTGGGAAGAGAGATTATATGAATTTTTATTATGCAAGAAAGTATGCCTTTGGCTGCTGCTGCAGCAGTCTTTTTAATTGCAATCACCTCCTTTTCTTCCATTCCCCTGTAATGCCAATTAAGTCATTCCCCGTTTCAGTTACACATTATTTGGGGGTTTTGATCCATTTCATTTGAATTTTTGGGTGGTGATGGGGGCAGAACGCATTGCAAAAGCCTTTCCTGCATCGTTTCAAAGAATTTATGGAAAGTCTACCTTTCCCAGCTGATTCTGCTTCTCAGAATCCTGGTCAGTTGGCCCCCTTGAGTGCTCCTAAGATTGGGGCCAACATCCAAGCGTACCCTAGGCCAGTAACGATGAGCTTTTGGTTTGGGGGGATGGTTGGCTCCATAATCCCAAAGCTTATCCTTATGGGAAATGCAGCATATTTAAACGAAGTCAGCTCCTTTGCAAAAGATGCCTTTTTGCGAGCATCCTTTGGAGGACCACACGAAATGTCAGAAACTGGTAGTCAAAGAGGCTTGGGGGTGGGTGGGGGGAGTATAGCCAGATTGTAGCCATTGCTCAGCAAACAGGCAACGCTGCCAAGGAATCCCCAGTTTTGAGAGTTTTGCCTCTTAACTCACCTGCTGTGGCCCAAACGGGATAAAACTACCCAAATATTTAACCCCAGCCCCCCCCCAGGACTCTTACATCATAAAATATATACTGAGGGAGAAGTTGCGTGCAGTCCCATTTCTGTGCCCTATAGAATGTACTTTTTTTAAAAAAGAAAATATATTTATGCATAGAGTCAGGAGACCTTATACCATCCCAGTCAAATGATTGTCCAGTCTATTTTTGAAAAGCTCCAGTGATTTTCCAACATTGCATTCTCTCAATTATATTGCACTGTCTCAGAATAAAAGAGTTGGGAGGGACCTTGGAGGTCATCTAGTCCAACCCCCTGCTCAGGCAGGAGGCCCTATGCTATTCCAAACAAATGGCTGTCCAGTCTCTTCTTAAAAACCTGCAGTGTTGAAACACCCCAATTTCTGAAGGCAAGCTGTTCCACTGGTTAATTTTTCTAATTATCAGGAAATTCCTTTTTAGTTCTAGGTTGCTTCTCTCCTTGATTAGTTTCCATCCATTGGTTCTTGTCTTGACTTCTGGTCTTTAATCTCTATTAAACACACTTAATCAGACAGGGAGCATCAGGCTGCTGCTACGAGACCCCCCCTGAGCTCCACCGGTAGAATTTGTGGGGTGAAGTTGCCTAGATATGCATCAAAAGAAGTTATCCAAATTTTCAAATGAGCTAGGGTGGAACTTGCCTTTTATGTACCTTTTGTAAGCTAACACGGATGCTGAGATGCAAGTCGTGTAGTTTTTGACTTCGCTCCTTATTTGCTGTTAGCTAAGAAAATATTCCATCATACATTTTAGTTTCTGAAATGTTACCGGGGGATACAGAATGAGAAGAAAAATGCTCAGAGGAAGATGCTCTGAGTAAAGCTCTGTCTCCCTGACTTTGTGAAAGAAATCCTTTGGGAAAAAAAAAATGAAAGCGAAGTTATCCCATTTCTTTTCATTTCCTCATTCCTTTTGTGGATATTCAGGTGCAGCAGGAAAACCTGACTGCCTCTTCAAACAGGAGGAATTCCCTGATTCCTGCTGATTTTGTATTTACGCCACAACAGCGGAAATTTTGGACAGATTTCTCAGCCAGACAAACGATTAAAGGGGCAAACGTTTTGTGTCCTGCTTTTATAATACACACGAGACAGACTCACACTGAGTTTTCCACAGCAACATTTTTATGAGTTGCCTTTGCTTTTTACACATTGACCTGTTGAAATGGGCAGACACTTTAACAATGGCATAGCCCCCGTTGCTGTAAATAATAATAACAGATTTGGAAGGTACCTTGGAGCTCATCTAGTCCAGCCCCCTGCTCTCACAGGAGACCTATACTATTTCTGATAGATGGCTGTCCAGTCTCTTCTTTAAAACCTCCAATGTTGGGGCACCCATAATTTCCAAAGGCAAGTTGTTCCCTCGGTTAAATGTTCTCACTGTTAGGAATTTTCTCCTTAGGTCTAGGTTGCTTCTCTCCTTGGTTAGTTTCCATCCATTGTTTCTTGTCCTTCCTGCAGGTGCTTTGGTAAATAAGTTGGGGCCCTCTTTCTTGTGGCAGCCCTTCAAGTATTGGAAGACTGCCATCATGTCACCCCCCCATCCTTCTTTTCTCTAGACGAGGTATACCTAGTTCCTGCAATCATTCTTTGTATGTTTTAGCCTCCAGGCCCCTGATCAATTTTCTAGCTCGTGTCTGGATTCTTTCCAAAGTCTCAGCATTTTTTTTTATTTTTTTGTATTGGGGCAACCAAAATGTGATGCAATATTCCAAGTGTGGTATTACTAAGACTCTACAATGGAGAAAAAAACGAGAAAGAGAGAGAGAGAGGGGGGGGAGGGAGGGAGGGAGGGAGAGAGAGAGAGAGAGAGAGAGGAAAAAAAGAAGTAGAAGAGGGTAAATGCCAGGGAATTGGGAACAAGCTAGTAGTGCAATGAACACCCTTTTTTCCTTACTTCTTTCCCTGTTTATTTATTGGGGGAGGGGAAAGTACCAAGAGTGTTAGTTGAGTCTGTTCGTTTGCTGTTTTATGCCTCAGAGAGTGCAAGTGAAACCTCCATTATTTTTTTATCAGAAGATGCTTCCTAAAAAATTCAACTCTAGGGGAAAAAACGCCATCCTTGGTCACCTCCTTAGTTCCGTCATAAATCAAGACTAACATGGCCTGACAAGACCCCACATGTTGGGCTGGCAGCTTCTTTCTAAACACAGGGAGGGGAGGGACGTGAATGACAAGGAAGGGGAAAGGGCTGGACTGACCAATGGGTAAAGTGAGAGAGATGCTGGCATTGGTTCCTCAGCAAGAGAGTCTGTGTGCTCCCCTCCCCAAACTCATTTGGCAGGAACACACCTCCTTCCCATACACGGTGCTATGAAGACCGAAGTTGAACTTCTCCCAAATCCCAGCAACGGGTTAGAGTCCAACGGCCCGTCCACAACCCAGCATTCTGGACCAAGAGACCTGTTGGGACCAGAAGCGTCTCGTTCCCTTGAAGGCCTACATCTGATTGGACTTGGGGAGGGGACACCAAAGGGGGAGAGAGAGAGTGAAAGAGAGAAACCTGGACAGGTTGGTTGAACATTGACTTCCGTGCCAAACCGAAAGGAAGCTGGAGGCATCTGTTGAAGAAGGACGTGGGCCGTGCCTGAGATTTCCTCTTAGCAGAAAGAAAGAATTTCCACCCTTTAGCTGCAGAGACAGGGAGGTGACCCTCCACCTGTAGACTGGAATTGTTTTCCCTGGACTGCAGATACCAAGGATTTTCTTTTCAGAGATCTCCGCTTCCCCTTTCTCTTTGAAAATTTAAGGCAAACAAAAACAAAGCAAGAATCCCAAAATTAGGTGCATCTAACAGTTGTAAATAGACAATAAATAGAGGAGAGAGGGAGAGAGAAAGAGAAAGAGAGAAAAAACAAAGAGAAAAAGCATATATTTAAAATTTGTTTCAGTTTTCGGATGGACAGTAGCTGTCCTTTTTCAGTGTTATTGATAGTACACTTGTGATCCTTTGGGATTCCGATTTTGTTCTCTTTTACGCTTACTTTTTCATCGCAGCTACATTTCAGGGAACATGTATATTTAGTAGCTATTGTAAGTTCTGCATGGCACCACCCGGCTATTTTCTTTTTCCTGGAGAAGAATAAAGAATGAGCTTTTGGGGGGGACATAACAGTTGTCATTGCACTTGGAATGGAGGAACATACGCCAGGGAATGGGAGCAGGGGAGGGGGAGACAATTATTCATTTGGGGGGGCTGGACATGACGTTTTCTACAGGGCAGCCTCTACCTGTCCAAGCAAAGGATTTGGGTAACCCAGCTAATTCTCAGTTGCCAGTTCTATTCTTTTTTTCTTTTTATTGGATTGTTTGACCCAGTCAAACAAATGTCGGAGTTGTGTGTATTAAAAAAAAACAAAAACAAACAAAAAAAAAACAAATCAAAACAGTGTTTAAAAAAAAATGTTGTAAAGACACTGAGCCTTATGAAAAAAAATATTTATGGAGTTAAATAAAAAGACCTGAAAAGACATCTGAAGCGTTTCTTCCTAAAATTTACACGGTGGCCCAGATGTGTACGTCTTTATGAATCGGATGTAGGCTAAAACAGGGTCCTCAACCTTGGCAACTGTAAGATTTGTGGACTTCAACTCTTAGAATTCTGGGAATTGAAGTCCACCAGTCTTAAATTTGCCAAGGTTGGAGACCCCTGGACTAAAGTGTCGGGGTGAATTTCCTGGGAGGGGTCACTTCAGAGGGTGGGGAGGAAACAACATTTGTACATTTATATGCATATGTTGCATTGATGCAATACAGGTAGTCCTCAACTTATATCAGCTCGTTCAGTGGCGGTTTGAAGATACAATCGCACTGAAAAAAGTGACTTATGACCATGTTTCACATTTACAACCGTTGCAGTGTCCCCGGGGTCACGTGATCAAAATTAAAAGGCTTGGGAACTGACTCATATTTATGATGGTCATAGTATCCCGGGGTCACGTGATCACCTTTTACGACCATCTGACATGCAAAGTCAATGGGGAAGCCAGATCCACTTAACAACCATGTAACAACGGCATTGATTCAGTTAACAACGATGGCAAGAAAGGTTGTAAAATGAGGCGAAAGCAGCAGACACCCCAAAAGAAAGTGAAAGGTGTCACACACTGCAGATCGTCACAAATGTCGACTGAAGTCCATTTCTGTATCATTTGGTTGCAGCAGGGATACAAAATTGGAGGCTGGCATGAAGATTAGAACGTATTGATTTAGCCACAACATTCACAGAACATTTATCAGCTTGAAAACTGCCAAAGAAGCTCATGGAATAATAACAAGACAATCCCTGTCCTCAGATTCACACGCTTAAAAACAATTCAATGGTATCCTCTTTTAAAATAAAAACAAAAACTGCCAGCATGCTTTTCGGATGCATTTTTGCAGAGGATGGATATGCATGTGCAAATACTACATCAGCAAAGGTGGGTTCTTCAGTTTGTTACCCTAATCCAGTTGCTTTGAAGTTTATGGCCCAGATGAGTTTCTTCCACTTCTCTGCATAAACTTGGTAGGCTGATGGTGAAGGTGTCCTTTGGCACCAGGGCTCAAGTCTCCATTCAACCCTGGACTGAGTCTTGGTTTGCTGTATCTCGTCAATAGTTGTGGATTAATTAGGAATCCATAACTATTGCCAGTCCCTGATCTACAGTATGACTAAATAAAGATGGATAGATGGATTGAACCAAAAGATGCCCTGAGATGGATGGCATGGTGACTTGGCCTTGTTGACCAGAAGGTTGACAGTTAAAACCAAGTGCCATGTGATGGGCTGAGCTCCTGTTCCTTGTCCCAGCTCCTGCCTACCTAGCATTGAAAGCATGCAAGTGCAAGTAGATAAATAGATGCCACTTCGGTGGGAAGGTAACAGTGTACTGTGTGCCTCGGCATATCATTTTGCTGGTCATGTGACCAGAAGCATCTTCAAACAACGCTGGTTCCCTTGGCGAGGAAACAGAGATGAGAGTCTCTTAGAGTCAGACACAACTGGAGAGGGGAAACTTTCCCCACTTTTATTTGTGATACAACAACAACAGAACCTGAGACAAACCCATTTTTGTACAGCGATCATTCTAGTTCAGGGGTCCCCAACCTTGGCACCTTTAAGACCTGTGGATTTCAACTCCCAGAATTCACCAGCCAACAGGGCTAGCTGGAGAATTCTGGGAGTTGAAGTCCACAGGTCTTAAAGGTGCCACGGTTGGGGACCCCTGTTTTAGTTCATGTTTCTGAACCGTGGCAACTTTTAAGATGTGTGGACTTCAACTCCCAGCAAAGTTGGCTGGGGAATTCTGGGTGTTGGAAGTCCACACATCTTAAAAGTTGCCACAGTTGAGAAATGCTTTGTCAA